CTCTAAGATATTCCAGTTGTGACACTGATAGGTCGCAGCTATATTATAGGTGATACTCTTCTCAACTTAGTTTTTTAGAATAAACCAAAGTCTTCCACTTCGGCAAAAAGTTTTGGTACGAAAAGGAGAAAACGGGCAGCTGGTTGTTGTCAGGCGCACTATTCTTGGCAAGGTTTGTTCATCTACTGATGGCATCAGAGTGTAGCCAGTGTGACAGGGCTCCAATCTAACTTTCTGATATCTTCGTCAATTTTGCATATTCAGACATAATTGAGTATTATTGGGTTACAATCATGTGGTCTTGAGGTCTCTAGGTACGCTCGTTCTTGGTTATCATTATCAGATTTTGATTGTAGAATTATGATTCCATGCAATCTCAATCGGCACTCAACCTTTATGTTTTTTCGAAAAATTCAGACTTTTTACACCTTCGTGCTTTATATCGCAAACTAGTGTCTCTTATTTTTGATGGCCTGAATATTTTCAAATGCTCTGTGTAGACTAATGTTTCTATTAGGTGCGAAAAATTGTCCGGGATGACGAGAGCATGGCGACGGACGAGTCCACTTTAGAGGAAGTGACTTCGTCAAAGGCCACCTCTTCAACGGATGCGGAAGTAGCCATGCAAAGTAATACGGCAGAAACAGGTGTAGTGAGTAAAGCTGGTTGTAGGGAATAGTTTCTGATGCATTGCTTTCAAATTCCACTAATTTTCTCTTCCGCATACCTCGCTTTCTTTAACGACCAACTATCCATTATAGATGGGCCTCCCATCGGCGACCTGCTACGCGTTGCTTTGTACAATTCAAAAACACCGCACTACGATCGGACGTTACTGCAAGGAGGAAGATACGTTTTGCGTACATGTTTCTGTTGATAATCTTAAAGGCATTGTCTGGGCAAAATGAGGATCTGATTGTGAGTCCCCATCAAATAATGAAGGCCAACTCACTAAGCTATCCTCCAAGATGATTTGTAAGCGAGGAAATCTCCCTGAAAATTTAGATCAACCCGTTCCTCTTAGTTCAGTACGCACATTGCTCTACTTCCCAGTACTGCAGCGTTTGCCCTCTCTCAAAAGCAGGGTTGTGCACATTATTTGTGACCGTCAGTAGAAACTACCGCTCGCGACGAGATCTCAGCGCGGCTGCGAAGACCGTTTCATCATTCCAGACTTGCCAAAAAACCAGCCCAATTCAGCGACCAATGCGGGAGACGGTTAAGTGGCGCGATTTTGGCTGTCACTATATAAACATACTAATGATAGTAAAAAGCTTTCTAAGAACTTTTCTTTTTAAAACAAGAAAAAAGTTGCGACAAATCAGCTAGATTATAGCATACTGGCAGTGAGAAAGCTTGTGACTGAATTTCGTTAGAGTTACTGACAGAAACTTCCCAGATCCATCTTTAAAATTTCCTGACTTGCAGCTTCATATCTGTAAATGGTTCTCTTTTACGATTCTGAATCAAAGCAGACCCCTTTACATCCTTCATTATGGAAGGCAGTATACAATTACAATTTGATACAATTTGAAAACACCATATATTATAGACCCACTGCAGATGTGGCCTTAGTGACAACCCAAATCGTGCCACTCGACATACGACCAATTCCTAGGTTGGGAGGGCGCGCAGGAGTATCAAAACCTCGCCGCTTTTCTTTAGAGCAGGAAGTTAGGTCCTCAAGGAATCTATCGCCTCTCACGGCTAAAGTTGGACCGCCCATGCTCTGCCTTAGACTATGCAAGTCTAGTTAACGGGCATGCATACAAGACAAAAAGAAGGAAGGAGATGGTAACATATGCTTTTATGGCATGTCATATCTTCATTTTGTTCACGGGAAATTGCACGAATATTCTTAATTCTGTTTCTTGTCCCTCATATTTTGGCCCGGTAGCAGTAATTTTGCACTTTGATAGGATATATGTTTTTGGGTGAAATTTGAAAAACAGTTTTGCTGAGCGAAGCGCAGGTATTCATATATCCATTCACGTCAAAGCCCAGCCTAAGGGCAGGCAGTGGGTGGAGGGGTGGAGTTCCTAGCGCTTGAAAGGCTGTAGATTCTCATGAGACGACTAACTGATGGTTTCCGGGAAAAGCGGCACGGCTTTATAAAGGCTCCTATAGGAGCTCCTGCTACGCCGCCGCAGGCGGTCATTATTTGTGAGCAAGCATCGCGCGCACACAGTATGCGGTTAGCGGCGGCCGGACACCTTTGACAGTAGAGCGCGCATCGTGCAGACTCAATGCGACCTCAGTGAAGTACTCTGACTCCGAACACAATTCGAAAGATTTAAGCGAAGAAATGAGCCGTAACACGATGCCTGCTGTCGGTCAAAAATGTTCAGAGATTGCTAAGTTTTGTATTTGATACAGGATGACTTATGAGGATGTGATCGGACAGAGCACAACAGATGCTGATAGAGAAGCAAGTCGGGTAATTCGAAGATTTCCTGGTCTTACAACGCAATGGCATGCTGAAGTATGGTTTGGTTCCTCTTTCCTTGATGCACATAATGCATGTCCAATAATGTTTTTAATTTTCCAGGAAAATGTAGCAGTTCGTCGTTCCCGTGGACGGCCACGCAAATATCCATGAGGATATCTTGATAACTTATTGTACAGTAAATTATCTAGTAAAACTGTTCGTCCTTTTTTGGGTGTGCTATGCAACTAGGGTGCCCGATGTAAATATGTTTATTACCGTAAGTTTTGGTTGTTAGGATCGCTTAGTTACTAATTCTTTATTCTTCTTTTTCCCTTTTAATTTTTTAAACAATTATCTGACCTGAAAACCCTTTAATAGTGTCACAAATGAGCTTAATTTTTACATGAAAACTGCTAATAGCTTCACTCACATCTGTAGGATTTTGTTAGGCGAAGATGATTTTCCCACGTCCTTCTTTGTTTCTTTGAAAATCTAAAACAAAAGAAATTCGACTGTACCTTAGCGTTTTTTCTGAACCTTGTGGTTAATGGAATAGCGTTTTTTTTCTTCTATCCCGTTTTTTAGTGTAG